GGGGGGGGCAGGGTAAACGAGGGACACTGCTGTACGCAGTTCATGACAGGAACGTCAGGGCCTATTACATGTTTCATGGGGGATGACCACGTACCGAAACTTCAAGACGCCTTGTTTGCCAGGTACAGGAACGGCGATTCAGTCTCTGAACAAAATCCGCCGTTCATGAGTACACCTCGCCCAGCAAAACGTTCGCAGTTGGTTCCATATTCAACAGAACACACGCGCTTGTACGTGTACACCACCAACAAAGAAAACATTGGTACCGATACTTCGAAGGTACCCCGAATCGAGTGATGCCGCCAAACCTGGCAACTGAAACAGGCAGTGCATACCATGCGTCACGTCGGACAAGCGCCACCTACCGGGCAATCCCTAACCGGTGGGTCATGCCGTAAATAAAGCCAGCGATGAAGCAGTCCCCAGCGCCGGTTGTGTCCTCAATATCCGAAGCCTCGATAGGCCATGCAGAGGCCCAAACGTACCTTGCAGGTGCATAGCTGTCATTCTGCAGATTCAGCACACCGTCGGGACACCGAACAAAGGCACACGGGCGAGCGGCAAAATAACGCACTTCCGAGTTTTTACACTGGGAGCCCAGAAGCACCTCGCTCGTGCTGGGGTCAACGCTTCGACGCTCGGACTACCACCTCGAATGTATAGCAAAGCCAGTGTTTCGGTCGCCTTGGCCACGATGGAACTCAAGAAAATCGTAGCATGAGGTTGTTGTCGAAGCACACAAGAGCACAGAACACACCCAGTTCGACGGGAGCGACAAATCAACATCAGCAGTTCTACATGCGGCGGTAGACGCCGTCGGAGTTACCTTCTTTTCCGACGACGCGGTAGTGTTCAAATCGTCCATGCTAACCTCCGGTCTCACAGCCGTTCTGATATGCATCGGGCACCCTTGCGGGAGAGAAAATTCTCCAAACCCTAACCATGGCTGGTCTTTCTCCCTGGCCGAGAGAGGGGGCAAACCAGACGAGGATCATTACGGAGAATGGGAACCGTGCTGTGTCCACTTTCCTGTCCGATACGACCTAGTATACGAATAGTAGTCGCAAACGCTTCATTGAATAAAAGCCACGCGCACCTAACAAGCATTGACATTGAGCCAGCATTGCCACAACAACGTATCGCCTTAGCGTAACCCTAAGAAAAAAATCGTGGACGACCGTAGAAATAAAACGGTTTGTTGAGCAAGATGGTTTCCAAATACGAACCTCGAGTGACGCTCGGGGATCAGGGAGCACCTGGGTGAACGACACAAAGTAATGCATCAGCACCGGCACCCAGGATCTAACCTGCGATCTATGAGACCCCGTGCTCTCCTTGATCCTGCCTTTTCTTCACCCCCTCTTCAAGACCCTGACCTCAATATATCACCTCCAGATGTCACAATTCAAATCTAGACAAATGGTGCCTGCAAGAGCAGGGGAAATAAGGAGGGACCGCAAAGCCTCTTTCAACCTGGTGACGACGATGCATCCCTCGGCACCCAGCGTAGTCACCACCAGCCGCGCCCTGCCCTGCTCCAGCAGCTCTCGGATTGCGTTCTCGTGGCCATCGCTGCTTGAGCGATGGCAGCAGCGGCGGAGAAGGTAAGGGACTTGTCAGGGGCAGAAAAAACGGAGCCGGGCGCCATCGTACCGCTGAGGAGGTGAGGCTCACGGGAAAAGGCCACAACCGAGGTTAGCCAAACCTTTTTACAGGCAAAACGACACTAACCTTCCACACCGGAGCATCATGTCGAACGACTCTAGGGTTTTTCCTTCAGATGGCCGCGCGGGTGCATCATGCTCACTGGATCGACCAGTTACACTGTGCGATGAAACTCCTGAGCACTGTAGTCTGAACGAGCGCATCGCGACTCGCGTCCAATACGGTCGAATCAACAAGCGTCCATGGCAACGAACAAACTCCACACCTCCTACGAAATACCCTAGTATGCGGACAAGCGTCGACGGGTGCAGCGTTGCTCGATGTGGAACGTTATCAATTGCTAGCCGGACGTGGTCTGTTGCTAGCCGGTCGGTCAAAAGGCCGGCTCGAGTACACGGAGAATCATTCGGCATTGCCGAGCACGAGGCAGACACGTCAGTGACGCCCACAGCTTCCACTGTTGGAACACTACAGACGTATGCATGCGTGTCGTGTTTCGACCTTGCTACCGCACTATTATGTTGGATTCATTGGCGACCAAATAAAAACGTGACGGGCTGAAATATTACAACACAAGCTAGAGAATGAAAGGAAAAGCCGATGGACTCAGTCAACCCACGAGAGCTCTGTTGGCGAAAAAACAAAAGGCCTGAGAGTCAGAATGGACCATGTGCGCGTTCAACCTTTGCGCAGAGTTATGCCGCGCAGCAACATCATGCCCCAGCTGACAAAACCGCGGTTGTTAAGCAATGGTGCACACCCCGTACCTGCCGGTGAAAGCCTGGGGGAAATTTCTGTTGCAAATGACGTAGTCCGCCAACGGGAGGAGGTCCTTGAGGAACGGTCGGTCCTTCTCTGCATCCAGAACCACCGGGACGCCCCTTGAGAAAAGGGCGTCGTAGAACCATGAAACATGATGAGCGCAACAAACGAGGAAGTCGCGAAGGAATGGAGATGAATGGGTGGGAGCTGAGGCCCGATTCGAGGATCATTGCCGCCAACGCGCTCTTGCGAACGGGAAACGGGCTGCCGGGGGTGTCGCATACACACGTAGTATTTACCGAGGAGCAGCAGGGCTTCTCTCTGCTGAAAGAAATGCGGTTGTGGTTATTCTATGCGTCTTTCAACCGAAACATTCAATTCCGCCGACGTACAGGCCTGAAAGCTTTCCACAAACCACGAGAGTGGAGCGTTGGCAACATCGGGTTGTTCCCTGGCCCAAGTTCAACTACCAACAGTCGGCTGAAGGCACCCGTTGGATGACAACTCACGAATTATTGGTGGAACCATCCGACGCTTGAAAGAGCCGTTACGGACACGCAAAAAAAAAAAAAAAAGGCTGAGCATGGTGATGTACGAGAGCACTATCTTGGCCCGCTCGATCAACTCCGTCGACTCAGTCCATCACATGCAGTCGCTCCAATGCGAGCGCAACAACAGTGCGCCACCAACAAACGTCGAGCGTTTCTTGGATGTACGTCCACCGCCAACACCAACCAGAATAAACTTTCTTCGGGCATGGCCCACACAGACCGTTCGTTGGCCAGCTTGGCCAAGGCGACGGCCGCCGGGGTGTGCCTTGAATCGAGGTGCACCGCCGCAACCCCGTCAAGTAGGTCCGGCGTAATTTCTTCCGGAAGAATATCTGCCGTCGAAAACGACACGAGAAGTCTCCGTGTCGATCACGTATGTGCGTTGCTCGACTTGCATAGGAGAATGTTGGATGAGTGGCAATCACGCTGAGGGAAAATCTGCCGGGTGCAACTAACTTTCCTACCCCGGCAGGGCTTCAGGCCGTAGCGACCGAGAATTACTCACTGCTTCGGCGCCGTCCTTTCAAAAACAAATCCGGGGTTCAGTGGGAGGAGACACATCGCTGGGCACCTCACCTTCCGTCTGCGGGGTGTGCAGGCAAGTCCTGGTACCCCCCTCTTTGTCCACGATGACGTACGTGAAGGCCGAGGGAGTGGCATCGCTCACGATGACGCGGGAAACGTCCACACCTTCCTCCTCCAAACCTTGAAGGATCAGCCTGCCGTTCGCGTCGGAGCCGACCTTGGTAGCCAGGCATGCGTCCAGACCGAGTCTACTCGCTCTGAACAGACCAGACGCGCAAACATCTTTGAGCACGGCACGCGTCGGGAAACGCGACGGCTTGCGATAGGACGACGTTCCGCGCCGTCTCAGGACTACATGATGCTCAAGGATATCGCTGACGTCACGACGACATCTGTAGACCCTCAATACAGGCGCCCGAATTGGAAACAAGAGCAATGGCATTATCACAAGCTGGACAGGCGAAGGCCGCCCCCCGAGGCTGCAACGTGTCCTGGCAATGGCAGCGACGTCTCCATGACTCCGCCAGGGCTCAAGCTCACAATTCTATTGGGGTGAACGCAGATCAGGATGGCATGAAATCAATGACTGACATGCGGCGAGATATTTGAGCTGTGAGCCCCACTCCACCCTCCCCCGAGTCGACAGGAGAAGGACTGCAGCAGCTCCTATGCTCCATCTGCAAACTCCGCCCTCATCCAACGGTAATACTACCTAGCACGACAGTTGGTCCGTTGACACCATGATACACTCACGCGGAAAGGGTGTTACCGCAGTTCCCTCCCCCCAGGACCTGAAGGGATTGTGTTCGAACCTTCTCGTCGGCCGTCGGGTACCTGTATGTGCCGGTTTTACCACATACGCCATGCACGTAGGCAGGGTGAGGAGCAATTGCTCTGGGGCGCATTAAGGACGAGACGGGAGTTGACATGGGCAATCCCGTTACTAGTAAGCTCAATACTGTACCCACGATCAGCCCCCACAACGGCGAGAAATAGTCGGCATCACCTTGTTGGCCGGAAGCCACCACAATGTACACGTGCGGCACGAACATTCGTGAGATTCGGCAAGTCTATCGATGTCCTTCCTCCAAGCATTGAAAAAGATGAGTTCCATGTGTTTCGCTTTCCCAGAAAAATACTTGATGCTTTAGTAGCGGCTGAAGCAAATCTGTAGATTCTGCATTTGGGGTGTCATCAGCAGCACGGATTTCAACTCGCGTTCGAGCCACCTCCAGCCCTTCCAACCGCTAGGCCATTCATGCACGCATGTTTGCATGTCACCTGTCGACTGCGGCAATGAAGTCCACGCCCGCGGATCCAAGGCCCAACACACGCGGACGCCCGTTGCTGTCGACTTCGTCTACTGCCTGGCCCTCGGACATGCCGGCACCAAGAGCGGAGCAAAGCCGACCACCGCCACTTCCCTGGCTCAAGCTCCTGATACGGTCAGGCGATGATAATGCAAGGCTGTGAGCCCCACCGTTGGAGATGTTGATGTCGATGTTGATGTTGGTCAGAGGTCCACACCTGCCTGAAGAAATAGAAATGCATCGTCCGCGCCGTACAACGTGACGTGTTGCGTCAGTACTGTAGCTTTTACGAGCGTTTGATGGGCTTGGCCCTTGATAACAACACTAAGACGCATGATGTCATACAAGGTGGGAGAGTAGAAGACGCTCAGCGTAGTACTGCTCTAGGTGTACACCAACAGACGTGATCAACATACCGCATTCGAAGTATGACACAAGATAACACACCCCCTGGACCGATTTTTCAAAGCTCGACTACACCACAACGAAGAACATGCGTACACGAAACGATACATTTTTGGAAAGCTCTCGGCAAGGCGGCTTCAACGACGGCATTTTCGGCCCTGTGACTCTCTCTGCTGTCGAGAAATCGAGCTTTGAAAATCGGCCCAGGGGGTGTGTTACAATGTATCGTACCCTGAATTTCTGTGTATATGCACATGTTGTGTACAGTCGACTCTACAGCAGTACATGCATAACCATTACTGTGAGTTCAAGTAGGAAATAGCACACGATTGCATTATCGTGAATTATGCTGCATTTAGATGGCACCAAAACACGCAGGGCGCCATCGTCCAACTAGTTGCAGCGTGGAAAGCAACAGCATAGTGGCACGCCCTCCCCCTCCCAACTCCCGCCGACCCTCTCTACCGGAACTCTCTGCATGATGAATCAGTGCGATCGCTGGTGTGCTGTTTGCATTGAGCTTGATAGAGCTTGTGGAGTTTGCAGGAAGCACGCTCTCTTGCCTGCGCCAGGGTAGAGCAGCCAGCAGTGGGCAACAGCCAAAGTCTGCGCTCCAACACCTACTCGAAACCACGCGCCTCTCATGCCTTCCAGACCAGATCATGTGCGCTGATCAATTTGTGCGGGGGGTGACGCATTCCACAATCCTGGGTACGTGCAGGGAGCAACGACCGCCTCTCTACACGATGCGAGGAACGCTTCTGGCTCATGCTCTGCTGAAGCAACGGGTGACAGCGAACACGCGGAAAACACGCTCCTGAATACACCAGCGACTACATGGGAGAGGTGCCGATCAATCCTACAGGATTCGCCCATGGTTTCCGTCCACTTGAAGGTGACCACCCTCCGGCAACGCCGACCCAGCGAAATGCAACAGCAGCCTCGCAGTCCGTACAACATGCTGGGAGCTTTCTGAGTGCGATGAGCCAACCGCCGACGCCGGCAGGAGCTCACGGAGGTGCCGTTGGTATGGGGTTCGGTCCTTCGAGAAAGAGACGGCGACTGCCAGGGCCCCTGGCGTTCTTGCAACACGGAGCTGGGTGAGGGCAGGCGTGTACAATTTTAAACTTTTGAATCTGGTTCCCCCGCATCTCTAGACTACTGCTGTACGGTATCGCGTATCTCCGGTCCGGGCTTGACGGCGGCGGTTGTTTTTTGGCCTTGTAAAACTGAAACTATTACACAAACGGACGCGTTTCTTTACACGGTGTGGCCCTCCGGAACGTTGCTACCATTCAAAACATGTGGCGAATTCCCGCAACCTGGCAACGACGTAGCTGTCTCTGGAGTGTGGTGTCGAGTGAGGCTGTCAATTTTCACAACCAGGACCCGGGGCGCACACGTTGTCCACACCGGCACTTCACGCACCACGACCAGCGAGAGTTGTTTTTTGTTGCCATGGGGGGTTGATGGAAAAGCGTGGAGAGATTGACCTCCCTGGGGCCTCCTTTTCATGGAGAGACTTGTCGTTTGGGTTTTGGGTTTTTTGTTCGATGAACATGGCAATTTGACACCTCTTCTGCGCGCTGCATGTTGCATGTTGACCACATATCGCAATCCAATTTCTTGTGGGACCGGAACTACATTCTACACACGGTCGCCCCGGCGGTCTAGCGGGTACACTTCCAGCCTGCTACGGTCCAGGTTATGGTTTCCAAGTCCCAGCAGAGTTAGTTTTTTTTTCACTAATTGAATCCTGATCTCCGTTGGAAGCGACGCGCTGCAAAGCTCGTTGTTAGTAAACTTGATCGACTTCGTAAGTCGCGAGGGAAGGGATTGCTGTACCCTTCTCGCGATAAAAATATCTCAGGCAGAACCGCAGGAGGGGGTCCAACCCCCCCCTCCTTTGTGACCCCGGTTGGGTTGTCTACCTGTCATTTAGTAGAAGTGGAGGATGGAGGCTAGAGGGGCAGACGACAGAGTACAATGATGGGAAAGAAAAAAAAAAAATCTGCTTCTGTCTCTATAGCATACAGTTAGCGTCCGCAATTATGAAACGCTTATTTCTTATTTCAGGTCCTCCAGCCTCGAATTCGTATTGTGGGCTATAAACTCAGCGTATGCCGTTCAATTCTTATGTCAAGTTTCTTATTTTCGTGCCGCCAAATCGTGCTGAATTTCTTCAATTAATTGGCAATTTCTTATTTTCTCTGCTCACGAGAGCTGGCGGAGAGCACCATCAAAACCGTACAGCAGACAGCATATCGTGGTTCGCAGCCTGTCTGGTGTGCTGTCCCAGAGACGGAGCGCCAGAGAGCGCCGAGCCGGCAGGGGGCCGAACGGGGCGCCGCAAAAAAAACACACTCCCCCCTCGTCGTATAACTAATGACGCGCTTGGGAGGGGGGGGGTAGTGGGAGAGAGGGGAAAAGAGCGAAAGATAGAAGGAGCTGTGGGGTGTTTCTTATTCGACACACCCTCCCCGTAACCCCTCGTTTCTTATGTAGTAGGGCAGCGGTCGCCGCTGTTTCTTATTGAGACATTTCTTTTTGTGTGATCCAGCGTGAGCCATGGAAAAATGAGCCTTTATTACTTCAAAAAATATTTCTTAACTGCGGGCGCTAACTGTACTGTTAGGGGTGCCAATCGTTCAAATTTCCTATAGGAAAAAAATTCAAAAAGTGACCTGGATCTTCCAGATGGAAAATCGCTCGAGCCAATCAAATCACATAGAACGCTCCTGAGCAATGCTGCACCCAGCGGCGCTCGCCGCCTCGCGCTGTCTACTTTCGATCAACTCCTGCTCCTTTTCTACCAGCGCTTTCTGCGCGACGGCAACACCGCCCCTTTCGACCGCGCGCTGTGTGTGCGCTGCTCCGGCCGCGTCGGCAAAGGTCCGCCCCTCCCGCTCTATGTATTTGCGTTCGTTTTTCTTGAGGTTGCGACGAAATCGATTTTTTCCTCTCGCGCCGAAGGCCGAGCGTTTGAGTTTTTGGGGGACCTCGACCGCGGTGCTTGGCGTGCTTGACTGGCCATTTTCAGACATGCGGTTCTCGCTGGTAGTTTGTGCGATTCTAGTTCGGTTTCTTGCGTTGTGTCGCTGAAAACCCGAGGCTGTGCGCTGCGGATCCGCTGTTCTACGATCACCAAACGCGGCCACGAGCGTGAGCCTTCAAACCGAATTTCATAGGGTTTTCTGTGTTGTTCGCCCGCCCTTTGAACGTTAGTAGAAAACGAACCCGCAGTCACGGCTAGATGACCTGTCTCCAGATGTGTGTAACGTATGAAGAGCCAGATCGCTGCCTGGACGCAGGGACTCTTGAACAAACATACGGAGGATAAAGTATACTTTGATCGGTATGATTTCAAGAGCTGAGCTGAGAACCAACAATCCGCGTGCCCCCCCTTTTTTTCCCAAAATCCTCGAATAGACCGGTTACTTTTTTGCCGCCAAAATCGGCCCGATTGGCACCCCTAACTGTAGTACCAGTAAAAAAATATCTATTTGGGACAAGTTGGCGAATTTTTTCGTGTCCTCCCTGCCTACTCTGCTGCGTTGGGTACCTTGATCTCGCTTTTGCTGTTGCTTTTTTTTTTGTACATCTGGCTGTCTGCCCATCTGCCGCCTCTTTGTCCTGTTTGCTCCGTTACTCCCATGCCCTGGTGCGTAGTGCCTGGTGCTGGTACGTTACCCTTTGATTTTTTCTTTAGGCGGGTGTGGGAAGCGTCCTCCTTCATTTTTGTTCTTGTTTTATTTTGATCGGTTTACGAGAGCTCTTTTCTTGAACGGTCGGTGCGGTACCTGTAATTTTCTTTCTGTCATTTGTTTTCTTTTGCCGAGTGGTTTGTACCCTATTTTTGTTTTGTTTCCCCGCGGTGTCGTATGTGCCGGGTATTGAGACCACGGGCTCCTCATTTTTTGTGGGCTATAGAGCTAATGTGAGAAACAACAACAACAGAATCAACAACACACGTAAACACACGAGACAACCAGCAGAGCAGCACACGAGACTGCTGTGGCCCAAAAACAGCAAAGGGCACATATCATTGGACGCGTCGGGTCGACCGTCAGAACCCGTTGCCTATTGTTGGCAGCACAAGCGAGGGAGGCGACACAGGTCAGTCTGTCTTCACGTGCAGGCAGATCTTTTGAACTTCCCACACAGATGCACCCCCAAAACAGAGACAACGAGACATACACACTGCTGCAGACCAACGGCGGTCAAAGGAATACATTCTACGAGGGAAGCAAGTGCACGCAAGTCAATCGATCTGCGGCTTTTCTTCGTCTGTCTGCAGACCGATCTTTTCATCCACAACAGACGCACCCCAAAACAAAGAGACAATGAAGCGTACACACTGCTGCAGGCCAAGGGCGACCAAATACGCACATCATAGGAGGCGTCGGGAGCGGTTTCTAGGGCCCGTTGCCTGCTGCTAGCAGCGCAAGCGAGGGAAGCAAGTAGTGTACACATCCACACATCCACACAGCAGCAGCAGCAACAGCAGTAGCAGCAGCAGCAGCAAGCAGCTGATGGACGAGAGCTTCGTCCACTCCAAACAACGCTCTCACTCTTCCCCGCGATGCTACACAGCAGAAAGAGGTCCTGCATACACATACACATCTGACTGGTGGTGTCGGGTGAGGTGTGAGCGTGTGCAGTGGCGGTGGTGGCCTCTGTGATGGCTTAGGCTCCATCCATATCCATCTCTGCCTGCTTGCCTCTGTCTCTCCGCCCTTCCTATGCATGGGAGGTGAGCCTATTTTTGAGCGCTAAAGTGATCGACCCTCCGGTACTTCCATCGACCTGAAACACGGTGCACGGTGCTAGCCAACCCTCCAGTCTGGCAATGACAATAAGCACTTGTTGCGGGAATCGAATGTCTACCTGAATATGGCTCGACACAAGCCTGGCACATGGCATTCCGAACATCAGGGGCGGGTCCAGAACGGCACGCGGTTGTTGGAGCTGTGTTGGGGGTGGAGGAATTTATCAGTTTTCTCGTGCTGAATCATCGGTTGCTGCTCGTCTATTGTACCCCCGTCGCGTCTGCTTTACAAGGGCAGTATGCCCTTCCTTGAAATCACACCCGATATTACTGCCGATGTGCGCGTGTCTGGTGGCCTTTCGCACATTTCACCTCAGAAGCGCAGGGCAGCAGGACGGCGGCGGTGTTTCCGACGACGACAGCGCGCAACGGCGGCTGAGCAACGATAGCGATCCGAACGGGGGCGAGGCCGGGGGCGGACACTTCACGAAAGGGCCGTGGTTGTCGTTGTGCTCGGCCATTGACGCCCCCATCGCGGAGGAGGGAGCAAGTGACAGCAAGGGTAAGGTCGTGCCCGCTCTGTTACTTGCCCTAGAAACTGTGCGCCTGCGCCGGTGGTCCCCTTTGCGCGCAATACGCGCGAGCATGCTCGTGCCTAGGCTATTGGTCCCGCTCATTGAGGCGCACGTGTCGTCTGGTGGTTGTTTTTGTGCTCGACAACTGATGCCCCCTTTCACGGGAGTGATTTGAGTGATGGCGTAGGTGGGCCGCGAGGGGAGGGTTGAAGGGTCGAAAGGTGATGGGAAGATCAATAATTCGGTTTTCCGTCGTGTTCTTAAGTGTCTGAATGGTTTGAACCGGTCAGGTGCCACGCAGCGTGCGTTCTTGCGCGCCCTGCGAGACAGGAAGGTAGAGGCGACAGCAAAGGTACGGCGGAGGGGTGTTGGACCCTTTTGTTTTCGGTGCTTAGACTCTGCATGCCCACTTTCGTGAGTGTTTCTCTGGGCAATTGGGGGATTAGTTGGAGTGCCGCCAGTTTCTACGTTGACCTATGGAAAGACCTTCATGTCGTCATCATGCTATTGCCCTCCCATTACCAACCGGTAAGTGGGACTTGCCCCGATGTTTTTGCAATCCACGCTTGGCATGTTCTCTCTGCGAAACGATCAGCGGTGCAAGCGTTTCTGCGGGGAGCCGTGTCCCCGATGTCGGAGGTCCTCGCCGGAGACTTTGATCTGCGCGTGCCGGTCGTGACTGCTGTCATCGACTCCTACACGAAGCTCTCAATCAGTGACGTTGTCGTTGAGCTCGTGGTGAGTAGAGTGACTTGATTCCACAACTATCTCTCTCTCTGAGGTGTTACATCCTCGCTTGCTTGCTGCTGGTAGCGAAATATGTACCACGTCGCTGTTGCTGCAGCTGCTGCTGCTGCCGCCGCCGTTGTTGTTACCGTTGTCGTTGTAGTCGTCGTTTTCAGTTTTTTTTCGCCCCCGCATCGCACGTCGGAGTGATCGTACTTCCCTGCCAACGCCACAATGGGACCGATGGCAGGACCCTTCAGGAAGAATAAAAGGACACCTGCATCCGGGCTGCTTGGAAGAGCACGGCCCCTCCTTAGGCCCAGGCGCGGCACTGCTACTTAAAGAAGTGGGTAAAGAGCGGAGAGAAATGAATGTCTTCTTGGCTTGGAGCGTTGAACGGCCTGTCCGTGATTCGACGTAGTCGGAATTTTTCGTGTCGTACATTTTTGTGTGTTTTTTCGTGTGTCTCCGCTTTCTCTCACCAAAACTCGACAACCGGTCGCCCCATCGCCCGAACTCGGCCGGATTCTTGTCTGTTGCAAGGTGTCTATCTTCGTGTCGGGACCCGCCACTACCCGACTGCTCAACGTGCATCCCGATTGCGTCCTCGCCGTGTTTGCAGCGGACACGTCGCCACCAGCGCCTTCGCGTTTGGAGTGGCTCACAACTTGCGGTGGGTCGTAGCCACTCAAACATGTGAAACGATGAGATCGTGGTGTTCAAGCCCCTTCCAAGTGTTGGAGGGTTTGCTGCCGGCACTGCATTGGCACTCCCCCCTCGATCCACAACCACGCCCTTTTGAGTAGGCATCGGCAGTGCTCTACAGGGGCCAAACCCGCTGTACCTTGTTGTGATACTTGTTGGTAGTGCTCCGGCTAGTTCTCCAGGCTATCGAACAGCAAGCTGTAGTCTGAAGTCGGTAGTGCTCCCACCGACTTATTTGATTGAACGTACGAGTACGAGGCTGCCTGTATCCCCACGCTGCTACATAAGGTTTCTAGAGTTCCGCCAAGACAAGCTTCCAAAACAACTGCTGGGCCGGCTTTTCTTGTTAGCGTGGACAGCACACGCCCTAGCTAAGCCTGTGATGTCTCCGGACTATTTTGGTTTCTTTGCAGACCCGCCGTTCACGCCGCAGGCCGTCCCCGATTCTGGCAACGGCAGACCCCCTCCACACCACCCTTCGAGTAGGACACCACCTCCGCCCACCACCCCGACATCGGCGGCGACGAGACAGAGAGGGGAGGGGTTCGACCGACGAAGACCACAAGCACCGGCCGCCCGACGGAGTCCCGTTTATGATCAGCAGCAGATGACGCCACGGTTGAGCCCTCCGGTTCGTCTGTCACCCCAGCGTTTGCGTAGGCAGGAGGAAGATCAGCACGGGCAGCATCAGCAGACCCGGCGCCACCTGCTAGTAGACAAAGCCAAGGGCGAGCAGCAAGGGCGGCAGAAGCCACCACAACCGAGCCCAAACAGCAGAAACGTATCGCAAGAAGTCGGGAGTCAGTCCTCGGTTCTGAATCAGGGCAGTAAGGATATGCTGCCGCCCTCCCCCTCCCCTTCCCTGGGTGGATCGAGCCCTCCTGGGATGTTCTCTCAGTCGCAATCACCGTCGCCATGGGAGCACCAGATCGCCCTCGGGCAACACCGTGACGATTCCAAGGAGAAGGGACAGGGACAGGGAGATGAAGGTGCAGCAACAGCAGGCGACACAGCACCTTTCAGAGCTTCGGCTGGTAACAACAGCGCAGCAGCGGCGCGGGCCGGTGAGGATTTGACGGGCGAAACCCGTGATCCTCACGTCCGTGGTCCTTCGAGAGGTGGCATGTCGGCGGAAGATGGGCGGATGCGGGGTCGTGTGGACTTCCCAGATCCTCCTCGAGAAAGGCAGAGGGATGGCGACAGCTCCCGGGCTGCTGCTCCCGGCGCAGGAACGGATCAAGCGTCGTGCGTTGGAACACCGGACGCCGACCATTGCAGCAATGTCGGCGGTGATGTAGAGCAGACGAGGGGCACCAGTACGTCCGCGACGGCGACCGGTTCTTCCGGCGCCACACAGGATGGTTTGCGCCGTCGTCGAACACCCGTGCCCGATCATGGGGGCGGTTCGTCTCCTGAGGTTGTGGTGGGTGGACTCACCTCCAGCGAACACAGCTCATCTGTCCCTACTCCCGAAGACGAGAGAGCGGAGGGTGGCGGAGGCCCAGGAGGCGGGCCACAGCCACGGCGAGGCGAAGAGAAGGATCACGAGGAAAACGTCCGGCTCAAGGCAGCAGGCGGCTCTTCCTCCATTTGGACCGACCTTGACGGCCTCGCTAGCAGCGACGACAGCAGTGATGATGAGGGGGTTAGTAGCAGGTCAACGGCATTCCCTGAACGACACGGCTTGGCTGCTTCAAACGGTTCTGAAAATATCGCAGGACAGGAACAGCCGTTGCCACAGCAGCAGCCACATCAACAGGAGGAAAGTGTGGGAGCCGAGAAGGGGAACGGACATCGTGACCTCGAGGAAGCCAGCGCTCTGCTCTGCTCCAATGGTCCCGACAAACCTACTGGCAGCGCGCAAGGTGCCGTACCAGGAGCGGAAGACTCAAACAAGCGTAACACACCAACAATGGTGTCAGTAGCGCCCGGAGTGGAGTTAGGTCGTGCCGCTGCGAGGAGGGGCGAAACGCTTTCTCTCTTCGGGGGTGGTGTGAGCAACGCTGCAGATGCTGAGCTGCTCGATGCGGCACTAGACGACAGTGAATAGAAGTGCGAGTTGGAAGGCCATGTTGGGATTTCGATTTTGAAGATGGGGCGTGCGGGCGCACTCGTTCGTTCATGAAGCCCGGACAAATGCTCACGTAGTGGGCAAGTAGCAGTTCTTGATACCGATCATGGCCATGCCATGTCCGCGGCACGGTAGCGCATCTCTCGCCTGTAGGCCTTGAGTTCGACACAGAAAATCTGAAGGCGAAGGTCACTATCCTGATAACAATGCCGCCGTTGTTGATTCCCCTGCCATCTGTATCCGAAAGAAGCCTCTGTGCCCAATGACACAGAATTTTCAGAGACCGACGTAGGCCGCTCCAATCCCGTTGCTAAACATACGAAAGTTTGGGTAACTCAACCAGGCTCCAGGTCAGCGGTCGAGGATACGACGTGACCAGGAAAGTATGGGTGGGACCAGAGGCCGGAGCTGTGGGCCTCATCCGAAATCCACACTAAATTAAATGAATCTAGGCCACGAGCAGCAATACAACATAAACATCGGGTCTACAAACGAGTTCAAGTTCGGCACGAAAATGGATGTAGGCATTGCCACGAGATGTTGAAATGTGCAGATAGTCGGACATTGTCTTTCTCCATATTGTGAATACGCGAAAACACGGGGTAGGAAAGAAACATTTTCCAGACCACCCCGCCCATTGCTCCTTCAGAGCACAGCCCCAACAAGGGTGCCGACCACAAAAGGAACCCAACAAATACAACATTCTCAACCCCTTCACAGCCGCCCGTCACACCGAGATATTTCGAACGAAAAGACCAAGTCAACGCAACTCAGGATCCCCTCTGCGAAGACCAGAGGTAGCGTAGCTTGTGCTCGGCAAAGTCGCCCGATCATGCGGCAACCACCCATTCCGCAATATTATTGAGGCTGTGAAGCGCCTCGTTTGCCCTGCGTCTCTCCGCTCTTGGATGTCACAGTGGGCTTCCCTCGAGCAAGTACAGGTTCCCATGTGCTTGCCCTTTAGAGGGACGTTGCAAGCCTGTATCATGAGAAACTTTCGGAATTCTGCACAGGTCACACCATGGGGTTCTCTGAAGAACAAGGATCTGTGATTGCATTCGAGGGCACTCGTAAACGCGCTGCCTTACGTGGAGGTCGGGCGTGCGGGGGCGAGGTGCAAGTTCTGCTCTCTCAAAGAAGCTGAGAGAGGCACCTCGTGTGCAATGCTTGTAGGCCCCGCCACGAGCACCAGGCAACTTGACGTGTACGCTGCAAGGCAAGCCCCTTCAGCAACGATGGCACCCACACACAACTCGGTCGAATGTAGGCGGAGGCTCGTAGTCTTAGATTCAGACGTTTAGCGCCCACGGAGCTCATCGCGTTGAAGTACGGATACTACATTTCTGGAACGACGACAACCCTAGCATTTTCGACATGTGTCAAGATCTTGGTCGCCCAAACAAGAGTCGCGCGGTGCCGCGCGCCCCGAATCCAACCGTGAACCCCACCGCGTTACCCAGGACCAACCCGCCCACCACCGCGGGCAGAGCACTAGCTCTCTCCCCCGCCCCCCCCTCAAGTCGCCTCGCCTTCAACCACGAGCCGCCCGCGGCAACTGCACACCCCACGCCCCAAAACGAGGCATTAACGGCCCCCACCACGAAAAGGAACTGAGATATGGCGCCCCCTGTGGCGGAAAGCGAGAGCGGAACGAGTCGTCCGACGGTGCCGGAGCCGATGAGATCGCCCGGGGATGGCTCGAGAGTGGCCCCGTACTTGTCGTACCTGAATGGTTAGGGAGGCAGAGCGTGGTAGAAAATATGCACCGTTAGAGAGAAAACGCGAAGGGTGATGGTGACAGCTCAGGATGTTGCCATGCTGACATCTAGACTCTGTAAGGCGTGCACTCGAACGAGAGGGAGAAGAAGGTGCAATCGCCATGTTGGATCAATGTATCTCCGGTGGATCGCCAGGTACAGTAGTGACCCCCAGTGTTTGCGTCTGAAAAGGTAGATGTTGTTGGCGTGGAAGACAACACAACTGTGCTGTTGAGGCCGTCGCTCGTGTACAGGAACGAATATTTTTGCCGTCTGAGAAACCTTTGAAAACGCGACGACAGGCACGAGAAAAGCGTAGTCGCCCATACTGTTTGGTCCCCAGACCACAGTCTGGCCCTGCTCCCCACCAACCCTCAACGAGACAGGCACGACTTCCGCGGCGGTGAAAAAACAGCGTAAATGAGGCACCTGATATGAAAACGGAGGCAACACGCCTATTCAACCAATTTACACGCATATCGGCTTTGTTGTGACGCACATCGGCTCTGTTGTATGATACCGGAGAGGTATTCCAACGATATTACCGACCACAAATGTGAGCATCCAAGAAGGAGACCAGAAAAACATGAGCGCAGTGACCGCATACGCAACCTGTTCAGGAATGGCTCCATCAGCAGAGCACTCCCGTTCGGTGACCCGAAAGAAAAAGTGTGGCCCAACCAACGCCTCTCTGGGCCCAGGTTCAATGGGGAGTTTCGGAAAAACGTTTCCTTTTGGGGTCAGACAAAAGGTCCAGACCAACTGCTCAGAAAAAAATTGGCATCAATAAGATCCGAAAAGAGGCTCAGATTTTTTTCGGGATGAGGTGGCAACGGCCCGCCGCTGATTGGCCGAAAGACTCGCGCGCGCCGTTCCCCACGCCCCTTCTTCTCCCCAAGAAATAAATAAGGTTTGCTTGGTTTGCTGCTGCCGCCTATCATCCAAGGTGCCAGGAGCATCTAGTGGGGGCGCTGGTACCAGAGAAATACCCTCTAAAGGTTTATTGCAAGCAAACTCTCAGCCACGCAGGTGGCGTCCTGTTTCAATCAACCGAACGAGAAAGGCGGCGTTCAGCAGCAGCGAGCTAGCTGAAGCAGCAGCAAGGAGCCGCAACAGCAGCTTCAACCTAGAACAATCACCCCTCACACAGCGATTTTTTCAGCAACATTCCAAAACGCAACAGCTGTGTAGAGGAGATGGCGCCGATAAATAGTAACACAAGGCACCTCTTGGGCCACATCCCAGCAGGTCGAGTGGGCTACAGCTCCTGGTCTGGGTGTTCTCCTGAACTGGCTGTAGGCAAGAAAGTTGCTCTTTTTCAGGCTGCTGGTGAACCTTGTCTCATTCCATCCTCTCCTCGGTTCCTTCCACAACGATCACCACATACCTCCACATTAGACGCACACCGCCCGCATCGGAGCTGGAACACGTCTGTCCGTCCAGTGGTGGTGACATGAGTATCGGACGAGTCTATACCCTGCGATGCCATCTTTTGTGGTTTACTGCTGTGCTCTACTGCTACAAAAAAATCTAGACCTGCTGAACAGGATCCCACTCCTCTGATAAAGCGAGCGTGGTGAGAGGTGTTTGCCTGAGCCCTGGGTACAAAGTAGGGCCGCCTACAATATCAAAAATTCTGATCCTAGGTTTGTCTGGGCCATTTATCTCATGACCTAAAAAATACTTCCGAAACGGTCTAACAAGAGCCGAGAGAGGAAGAAAATAGGGCACAACAAGGAACAGAAGAGGTGGGCAGTGTACGATGGTTCCACAGCAACACAGGCAGCGGATAGGCGCTCTTGATTTGCAACAATAGTATGTTTGAGAGACGCACGCCTTCATATGGAACAGGTTTGACTCACCGCTCTCGCAAGGCAGGATCCCGTAGCACGTCGTGGGCCTTGGTGAGTCTTCGAAATGCCGCCGGGTCTCCGCCCTTGTCGGGGTGTACAGAAAGAGACACCCTGCGGTATGCCCTGCACGGATCGATCGTGTGGTCATCATGTAGCAAGATGAGTTTCGCGGTTTGCTTGGTTCACCCATCTGTCACGCTTCGGCATATTGGTCAGGTAGAGACGGCACACTGCTGTACCTTCAGGGTTGCGAGAGAGTTTGATTGGATAAGTTGGATGGCCGATAGACACTCCACAGCAGTGTCACCATGGCGAAAACGCCCAAAATTAACACGATTGAGACATTAACACGATTGAGACATTAACACGATTGAGACATTAACACGATTGAGACACATGGATGGCGTGAAGACGGTCGAAGGTCAGCAGAGCGTGCGTGTACAACTGCGGCTGGGGTGACCTGCTGTTAGGGGATTGAAGCAATTGTGAGGTCATCGCAAGGAAAATGGTTGAGCTACACACTCACTTCGAGACTTCTTCGGTGGTCGCAGTCCCTCCCACCCCCAAAATGCTGTAGTATGTCTCGAAGGCGTCAGCACCTCTCATTACTGACGGATTCGCCCTCTCAGGGAAGGGGGTGAGACGGCAAGAATGACACGCACCGCTGCACTCCGATGCTGTGTGCCGAACAAAAAAAGCATTGCTAATCTGTCTTTGACTCTTTTCTCTGACGGAGATGGACTCGTTGTGTTGTATTTGGAAAAATAAAAAAAATAAAAAAGCGGCGCGACATACTTGGGTTCTCGGGCTCATTGTCCCCGTTTCGGCATCGACCCAACGCCAACACGCGGCGGGTTTAAACACCACGGGCTCTTTTGGTTGTTCACGGCGCAGTCGAAGTCAGAACACCAGGCCCATCGAGGCAGGAAAGGTAGACTTGCAGCACCAAGCCCTCTCAGCACCGAACGCGCTTGTTGCTGCCAATGCTGCACCGGCCCCTCTGCACCAAATCATCTATCGAGCAATATATCGGGCGCTAACGGAAGAGTGTAGCCTACAGATAGCAGTGAGCGGAGAACCTTTTTCGTTGATGTATCACGTCACCGACACATACTTCTGCCCCACAAGCCGTCTGCACGGAAAACATCGATAGGACAAGCGACGGCAGTGTGAGGGCGGCCCCCGACGTGTCCCCATTAAGGTGAACACAAAGTCACAAGTCAAGATGGCACGCGGCGAGTCGTCCAACGTGCGGGTGGCAGTCAGGTGTCGCCCAATGAGCTCCAGGGAAAAGGCGCAAGGATGCCAGGCCATCATTTCGGTATGTGCATGTGCCTGTGTAGAATCATTAATATCAAAACTCAGAAGATAGTGTGTACAATACATCGGAATATCTCTTGCTAGAATTTACCACCTACACGACGAGTCTTGACGTTACGCAATACTCCGGGTGTCTTTTGTTTCTCCAACAGTCCATGTGCATACCGCAGGCTGCTTGACTACAGTACTGCTGTGGGACAAGGAACTAGACTACTGTCTGTAATGCACAATCTGTCTCAAAGTAGTGACGGGCACCTTTTCCAGTCCGCGCACTGTCTACATCATGATGACCCGCACGGGATGTGGCACCTAGGGCGATTTCGCACCTTCAGTGGCGACCATTTCACGGAAACACACCCGTAACTACATAGTTGTTAAGCTCTCATCCACCAAGTATCAATACGCTGCTTTGCTGGGATGGATTAGGTGGAAGACAACCAGATAAGCATTACAGACCCGACTGATACGGGCGGAAGTAAGCGGGAACCGAAGGCGTTTAGCTACGACTTCGCGTACGACTGGACTTCAAGCCAGGAAGGAGTTCACCTTGACCTAGGGGCACCGATCGTTGAGAAGGCTTTGCAGGGCTACAACGGTAAGTCATCGATAGTTCCCGGGATGAGGCTCAAGATTGCCGGCTGGAAAGGTCTACTGAGTCGCTGTCCCACCAAGGCCGGCAAATATGGGATATCTTGTGACCACGGGAAATGTCCCTCTTTTGTGTTGATGAGTGTGGAGCGAGGGTGTAAAATAGGAGAAGCAATGACCCCTGTACAGATGTGACGAAACTATAATACCATGTGGGTGTATGGGGGTGGGGCATGGGCATGGGGCAGGAAACGTTCTAGATTTGGTATTCCGAACATCGCCGTGAGAGTACGCACGACCTCAGTTCTCCAGCTGGCTGTGAGTGTTGATTCGACATGATGGATCGCGCACCCAAGCACCGCCGCCGGGACGGACACCGAGGCACCTTAGTATACATATTGACACCGAGTACCTCACCGCGACAGATGCTGCCTCGTTCTGTTGGTTTGCATTTTCGTCCCAGCGACAATTTTTGCGTATGGCCAGACGGGGAGCGGGAAAACTCACACAATGATGGGGGGAGGCACGCCAGATGGGATTATCCCCAGGTTGAACGCACAGCTCTTCTCGGAAGTGCAGGTACTGCCGCTGAATGGACGTAAGGGATACATAGCCCGCTGGTAGAATGCTACATCACTTGCTGAGAGAGGTGGGCTTCACGACCACCTGGGCACAATATGTGGGACAAATATTGTCTGGACGAGGCACGTGCTCTCCGGTCGAAATCGTGTGCTAGAACATGGAAAGATGATTAGCATAGGACAGTTTAGCGTTTAGCGTCTCGCAGAACCTGTTCCCCTGGACGATCCACGCGCGAAATATCCCCGTCTCATGTTTCGTGACACACCCATAATATTGCTATGCCAGAGGTTGATTGAGAATAGTTCCCTCAAACGAAACAGAGAGATCCAACATCGCCACGTTGCGGAGGTTCTTGACCAGCGTTCTGTACGCACCTCTGGTACCGCTCCCAGTATAGACCTTAGTTCGCTGAGCAAAAGACAGGGTACAACTTCCAATATTGACTGCAGTCAGCAGAGCAAAAGACCGGTAGCAAGGGAGAGAGATTCGCTCCTTCGGACACTGCTACCACTTTTGCCATGTCCTGGCTGGGGTGATAATAGCAACCAAATTCTGCCTCTTTTTGGGAATGAGTTTTGTACGTCTTTCGTGCGCTGGCCTGCCTCGCCATATGCTTCAAGGGGTTGACAACGGACACGACCAAGTGCCTTGTCACGGTAAGCTACCTCGAGATCTACAACGAGGTCGTTCACGATCTCCTGAACCCTAAGAAGGACGTTAGCCTCAAGATCCGCGAGCATCCCGACCTCGGCATCTATGTCGACGGGTGAGGAAGACCCGGCGCCGAGATATCGTAGGCACACTGCGACGTTTCGATAGCGGCAGGCTGCCATGCGCGGGTTCAACTGGCTGCGAGAAGAGTGCTCGTCCACTTAGCCCTCTGTTGTTAAATTGGTCGTGCGTACGAAGTCTGAGCCTAGCTGGACTTCAGAAAGTATTCCTAACCTTCTCCAGCTTACGCAGCGAAGAAAAGGCCCTCTGCAGAACCATAAATGAACCTGCGTATTGGCCTTCGGCCGAAAGTCTTCTCCTGCACGGCTGTACCAGCCTGTACTGCAACGATACGAGCAAAGGTTTTGGGTGAAAATTGCCGAAGTTGCACATGGGACGGAGGGATATTGCGATTGCCACTCGGCCTGAGCTTCAGCACTACTGAAAAACATTGCAATAGGGTGCTGGGCGGATGCGATGTAGCACGTCCTGAGTAGAACAGACCAGGCATATACGATCGCTAGGGATTTCTCAATGTTGAACACAGTGCGTTCCCCACTACAGCACATGTCCGTCATCAGGCGAGGAATCTCCAAGCCAAACGCTGTCGTCGCGTGTACCGCTTCCGAATTGTGCCACAACGTGTTCCAGGCTTTGCGAGCTCGTCGTGAAGAGCGAAGCGGACGTGCTGACATTGATCGAGCAGGGCGGAGCAGTGCGGAAGGTGGCGAGCACCAACATGAACGAAAGAAGTAGCAGAAGTCACAGCTGCTTCACCATCAAGGTGAGCCCGGTTGACCTTCGGGACGGAAAAAAAAACGGGTCGTCAGGGGAGTCTTTCAATCGATTGAAAGGGAGACAGCGCGTGCCGCAAACTGATCCAAGCACTCGGAGTTGCTCCTTCCGCGACAGACCGTACGGTAGAGATCGGTTGGGAGAATATGATGCTGAGGCTGTGATTGGGACGATGGACTACCAGGCTTTCGAAAGAATGATGTACAACTCTCGTCACTGGCGGCCCACTTGCAAGCTACGCATGAGAGAGCGACAAGCTGAGGACGGCAGAAACTTTTACATAGATTCGCCGGTGAAGGACAACAATAGCATATTTTCTACACATCCGCTCAGTCTAACCAGATGATCCATTGAAAGCTGAAAATACGGTCTTCGATTGCTTGTCCCAGACTTCGATGGCTTGAAGGTGAAGGTAAGCCGACCGTCAGCTGCATGCCCTCCCCCCTCCCCCCGGGATCACAATGAATCGGCCTGTTGAAGGTGGAAAAGAAGACTACCGAAGAGCTAAGCGACGGAGTAACTCGTGAGACGAGCCTGAATTCCAAGCTCAACCTGGTAGATTTGGCGGGGTCTGAGCGGTCGAAGAAGACGGGTGCTACAGGAAATACTCTCAAGGAAGGATCCAGCATCAACAAGTGGGTCGCCTCGCAAGTTGTCTGAGCTGCTGCCACTGGCAACCCCAAAGTAGCCGACATCATCTGCCGTCGCGAATTGTCATGGAAGGTCCCCGTCTGCGGATTATGTGACAGCATTTGCGAACATATTCCCCCTGATACTGACAAGTGCAAATCCCTGTGTTGTGGGGAGACATGTTCCTGGGACGTCCGGGATTAATTGGATTGGCCGTAGGGCCAACTCTCTCGTTCGGAAGGAAACTCAGTCAGTTCATGGATGGCGTTTGTCAAGCATCTGTGGTACATGCTGGTAATCACATTCGCTCATGAACACCACTGCACAATCCGGGGCGATTTGCCGCTCTGCTTGGCAGGTCATTGCTGGCTCTAGGAAACGTCATCACCGCCCTCTCGGAAGGACGCCTCAGCCATATCCCTTACCGCGATTCCACTCTCACCAGGCTCTTGCAGGTAGTGTTGCCCCCTGCCGTGTAGGACATGTGCCGCTGCTAGTGGAGCTATTCCTGCAAGCTTTTGTTGAGAACGGCGGCACCCACACGCCGTACAGTACGGGGGGGGCTATGAATATGCGCGCGTAGGATAACGTCAGTGAAACGATGACGAGGAAGACACACAAAGACTCAAGAACAGGGAGACGTTGATGTTGTCTCGGTGTCTGGTGCGGCCATGATTGACACGGCAGGAATCCTTGGGTGGAAACGCTCAGACGTTGATGCTGGCTGCCATCTCTCCGGCCGACTACAACTACGACGAAACGCTAGGAACCCTTCGGTACGTTTCAACTGCGTTGTGGTTGTTGTTGTCGATGTCGGTACGTGTAGGGCAACCTCCAACCTATGCCTCGACCAACTCCTCAATTGCGACCGATAAATAGAGGAACTGGTTTCAAGGCACGCCTGATACTTCGCTGAAGAAGACGTGTGCACTTGGCTGCACCACTCCACACACACCTACCCACACAGTAGAGATCAGCGGTAAATAGCGATGTCATAAGCCTGAAAGGCGCAGCAAATGACCAGCCTCAGTCGTCTAACGACAAGCCGGAAGATTTAAGAATAAATGAAGGTAAAATGTTTCACCTCCTTCA